GAAAAAAAAAAACTTTGAGAACGAATGTTTGATGAATTTTGTGGAAAATATCATGGTTATTGTGTAGAGAACAGATTGAGGTATGTGAGTATTTTGAATGAAGTGGGGTTTTTGATCGTTGGGATTGGAATGGATACTTGGTTGCTTTAAGCTGGTAAGCTGTTTTTTGATACATGCATTTAGAGAAGGTCAAGAGGATTTTTTGGGTCAGAAGGTTTTGATCTTCATTCCATGAGAGCAACTACGACGAGTCAGGTAAGTCTAAGACCAGAAACGCGTTTTGGTGGAATTTAGGCCATTGAGCGCATGAGAAAAGAAATGAAATTGAATCTCTTTTCGAACGGTGCCCAAAATAGAATGTTAAATTGGTTCAAGAGTTTGTAAGATCAATGATCATTCAAAACTTATAGATTTGATTGAATTAATCTTTGTAAGACAAAACAGATTGTAAATGACTTTTACAAGGTTATTTTCTTTTTGAGAAGGAGAGAAGAAAGCAAGTTTGACGGTTAAAGTTAATTCTTCTTGGATGACATATGCTTGGTTCTGTGGTTCAAGAAAAGAAGGATTCAATCTCATTAATTTGAAGAATAGATCTTGGTAAATCGACCCCCCAAAAAGAAAAGACTTAACATGTTCTCTTCTAATTCTGATAATTTCTTTTTATGTTGATCTAATTCAGATTTAAGTTTTTTTAAATCTTCAGCTTCCTTTGTAAAAAAAAAACCAAATCATAGAAACATCAAATGAGTCTTTTTCTTAAGCAGAGTTTGATACTTGAGATGAGAAGAGATATTGAACCTTTTGACGCATATAACGAGTTTCTTCACTACGTTCTTTTTGGGCAAAGTCTTTACTGTTAGCAGTTGCTCCTGGATGATCAGAACTGATGAAGACCAATGAGAAAGGATAGGAAATTGATCAGATCAACTTGAATGAACCAGAAAAGTGATGATAGATGACTTACTAGGTTCTTATGATTGAAAAAGGTAAAGTAGTCTTTGTGATCGAAGAATGGATGGGTAAAAGACGTCGAGTTGAGATTGATAACATCTTTTAATGAAGTTTTGATTGTTTTGGTGAGGTTTGAGGATGCTTGAGAAAGGTTTGAAAGTAGTTTTAGATGGAAAGCAAGGGGAAGGGGAACAGGAAGGACAAAGGGATTAAAAAGGTTACTTTACTGTCAATCTGATTGTACTTTAGCTTTCTTCATTTCGCTTAAACGGTAATCATCTTATTACCGGAGTCATCATCATATTCCCGGATTATCATCATTCGAATTCATTTCATTCATTCATTGTTTGTCTTTTCATTTTGTACGTAGTTTTTGGTACACGATAACTCATTTGGACGTGTATATGCTGAGCATGAACTTGTGTTCACCAAAAATCAAAGCAGCGAATCAAGATCTCGTGACTTTATGCCTGGTGAATTTGATGTGCTACCCATATTTTACAGACGGCGCTTCCTGTGGAATGTTGGAAGGCAGTTGAAGGAACTATGCGAGGGAACTATGGAGTACACACTCATACCAGATGTGATTATAGGTAGTTATTCTGAGTCTTTTGCTTTACTCTTTTCCCACGTTTGTTACCAGCTACAAGCACAGAGGAAGGTCTTGGCTCTTGATGCGTTATTCGACAGCTACAACTACCAAATGTTTGGTTAACTATCAAACTTTGGACTTTTTCTTTGTATGAGGAAATCATGGGAAATCTTCACTTGTTAGGCAAAGACAATCATCACCGGTAAATTGTGATACGGTATACGGTTCACCAAGCTTGATATGTTTCTTCCTGCAAAACTCGAGCAAATTGGAGGTGAAGTATACAATTGTAAAACCAAGTTTCACGCTGATTCACCTTCATGAATGTTGGAAGATGTTGTAGCGAGAACAGATGGCAACATCACATTGTCACGGGTCTTATTTAAACTGAAAACCGGGGTTAAAGACCTAACAAGCAAAAATACAAAATAAACTTGGTGTAAGGCTTGAGCAGAAGGGTCACTTCAATGCCGATAGGATCTCGAGCCCGATGAACGAAGCGGAAGATGAGGACTACTGTGGGGATTTCCCCAAGATGGCATGCTATTCATCGAAGATTGCTTTCTCCTTTCGTAAAGAAATTCGGTTGCTCTGATGGAGGAAAACCGTTGTGGGGATTCTTTATAAGGGCAAGTGTTTCGTAATTCTCAGGGCGACGCAACCCACGACATCGCATCAATGCTCGCAGAGGAAGAATTGATGAACACCATGAGGGCCCATGAAAGACTCATACGAGTTACATCTTATTGAGATCATTTCAGAAATCACCTTCTCCGTGAAACATTCATCACATCGGCTTTCCAGAAGTCTCCGCACTACCAAATGTTGAAGCCGGTTTGGCATCAAACACTTCTTGAGCTCGCCCACGAACCCTCTCGATTTCAACAACATACGCTGCGAAGTTTTCATTTCTCTTGGAAATCCACGTACATATTTCCTTCTATCACTTCACACCTTGTCAGGCAACATCATTCATTCAACAGCTTCCCGACAAATTCGCTCTTTTTTCCTCTTTTTTCCGTTAATCGAATTCGACACACCTGAGGTAGATTCAGTCTCGCATTTATATTCCAAATCATACTTCTGACTAATGAAATTTCTTCATGCTTTCTTCAGATAATCCGCTATCCAGGATCACAATTCAGCTCGTTGTATGAAGCTTTACAGCATGACTTTCAAGATTCGCCGGTGCTATGCTTTTCCGATCATGATGGCCACCTATCTTCTTGGGAATCTATTGACCACATTGTCAACACCTATTCCAATGGAGATCATGATGGAGCACTCAGCCTATGAGCTTGGGAGTGCATCAAAGCCAATTTCCGAAAATACCGCCCTCAGAGGAGGGATAGGATCTGATTTGTCGCACCAGGCTTCAGAGACCAGCTTTGTCAACAAGAAGTCTTTCGGTAGTGATAACAGCTTTCCTCGCTCGGGTTATCACGATACATTTATAGAACAAGAGCATGCCGCTTCTGGGGAATGGAAACCTACGACTAAACAAAAGAAAGATGGCATTATCGAACGGTTGAGAAAATTTAAGACTGCCCGCTTCCGTCGTGGTCGTGCTCTTGCAAGGGAACTCTTTCCAAAGAAATCTCCAAAGAAAATCTCGCCTATCGATTCTGCAACCAAGAGATTTTTCAAGACCCTTTTCAAACCTTTCAACCTCCTTTACAAAGGTATCAAGAAGATAATCTCCAAAGCTTTGACAAAAATCAGGTCTAAGACTAAACCAGTCAAAGGGGTGGAAGAAAGTGCGGTTATCGATCACGCAGGTTCTTTTCCCAAATCGGGCCACTTAAACGGCGAGGGTGCTAGGTCTTTCGGATCGTCATCGACCTCAAGCTTCGGCGAGGACAATGAGCACATCGGCTTTCATCCGCAATCATATAGAGAATACGAGTCAGGCGAGTCTTCTCGGTCATTGGGGTCGGGATCACAACATGGATACGATGCCGATGAGTCATATAGGTGGTCCTCGCAGTCGCCTGCAAGATCAAGCCTCAATGTGGAGAAAGGCCACTCCGAACCTTTTGGATCTCTCCGTCCGCAATCAAATGATGGCCTACACTTTCCCATCGATGAGACTAATGTTTGGGATGCACACTTCAAAGGAGCTCGCTACGATCCTGCTCAAACCGCATCGACTACCTCAACTGACCGATCCGCTGCACATCCAAATCCCTCTGGTCTGGAAGGTATCAAGAATGAGATTGACCTTGATAAATCGGCTAAGGCCAGGGAGCTGGAGACTAAAACTCGCGAAACTACCCCGCATTCTCAAACGCACACCACAACCGATGATCAGATTCCTCATGTCAATCTCGATGACATCTTACATGGTGGTTCTGAGGGAAGCCAGGCGGATAAGGTGAAAGCCCAAGTGAACCCAACCTCTGATGTCACCCCGAAGGTTGATACTACACCTCTCAAAACCGAGTCTAAAGCCCCTGATGTCGACTCGAAAACTCATGTTCAAGATGGGATCAAGGTTGAGAAAAATCCTCCAAATGAGATCCCCAAAGTGGAGCTTAATACTCAACCTGCTCAGGAGCTTCATTCTCCGCCAGTAGAGATCGCTCAAGAAACTAAGGATCCTGCTCTCAATTCGAATGGCGCCTCTATCTCAGAAGTCAAGGGAACTGTAGATGATAAGAAATCGACTTCTCCGGTCGAGCTACCTAAAGCTCTCAAGATAGAAAATCCACCAGCGGTAAAGACTCCAGAAGTGGTGAAGACTCCGGGATTGGTACCAGATTCACCGGCGGTAAATAACCCCTCAGTGGCAGACCCATCAGTGACAGAAGTGCTGAAGACCCAACCAGTAGTAGAAACCCCACCAGCAGCTAATATACCACCTGTAGAAGCCGTCAAGAACCCTCATGTTTTGAAAGAAGAAGTTACCAATGCAGACAAAGCACGATCAGAACTATCTAATGAAATTTCCAAAAACCATCAACCAATCCAAGAAGGGGTGATTAAAGACGCAAAAGTGAAGTCCGATATTCCTCCCAAAGGTTCTCTCGAAGCCACGCATAGTGATACAAAAGAGAGTCCGGTAATCATTGGCGCCAAAGACACGAAAGATCCCAATGCAGTTGATCTCACCACGCATGCCGTAGACACAAGTTTATCTAAAACTCCACCCCTATCTCTAGCTGATAGAATCAAGAAAGTTCAAAATTTGTTGTCTTTGAGAATACCAAATTGGTTACATCGGGATCCTCAGGATGAAGAGTTTATTGAGAATTTGGAGTCTGTTCTCAAAAATCCGATTCGCT